TACTACTACTATATATATATATATATATATATATATATATATATATATACCTCGGATCCATTAAACCTTCAACTAAGCAAGTTTTATGCCTAAATTATGAAGCTGTAACAAGAATACAGAGACATGGCATACCTCAGATTGATGGATTTTCTCAAGAGTCCGAAGGGAGTTTCCTGGTGCCAAACTGAGTGACATGTGCAATGAATTTTGAACTGACCTCTTTCCTTGTGAACTCTGCTTTGAATCCCTCTCACTTTTGGATTTGCATCGATTCTCCTTCTTGTTATTAAATGGTGCAGGTTTTGCTGGAGAAGCATGATGCAGCTTTAGTTTCCTCATGATTTGAGCATCTCTTGGCAATGGGGTCTGTACTAAATTTTTATCTTTTCCAGCAAAATTCTCCCGATTCGCACTACAGTTCTCCTGAACACCCATCACAGATAAATAAAAATTTAGCTTACAATCCATAGATACAAAGTATTCCAAACCTAAAAACCTATATATAGTAACCTATTGCTCACTCTACATGGCTCATTTCATTTCAAAAACCACTTTCCCAAACTAAGTTTGCACATTCTTTGTTTAAAGGGAGGAAAGAGAAAAAGAAACATTTAAAATTGTGAAATTCATTAGTGAGAATGAAAAAAAAAAATAGAAACAGCACCAAGAACTTACTCCACTGCATTATTTGACATTTTTTCTTTCTCTACACAACTTTCTCAAATTAAATGTGACGACAGAGAATATTCAATTTGCACATAGAAGATAATTAACCCAAATTACTACCTTTAGAGGTGACTTGTCTATTTGGTCGGATCTACCCGGCTCTATCCTGGCATCAGGCTTCCTAGTTCCGTCGTCCCTAAGTTGTACCAAGTCTTCAACATGTGCCTGACCATCTGAAATGATCAGTTTCTCTTCAACAATACCTTCCTCCTCCTTAACGGGCGCCAAATACGATGTAATTTCATTACCCAATGCGACCTCCTCTCCAAATACCTCGGCTTTATCCATCATATCACCATGAAAACAGCCATCCAAATCTGTAGGTTCAGGAATCGCAGTAAACTCTACATTCTGAGATTGATTCTCGCAAGCATTCGCATTAGCAGGGGCATCAAAGTCTTCCAACTCTGAGACCTCATCACATTGAGATTGACTCTCATTGGTACTTAGTACCTCAAACTTCTGCGACTCTGAAACCCCATTACATTGGGAATGATTCTCACAAGCTGGCTCATTAGCAGGGACCTTGGACTCTTCCAACACTGAAACCTCATTCCATCGAGATAAATTCTCACAAGCATTTTCATCAGTAGAGATCCCTAACTCTTCCGATTCTGCAACTGCATTGGATTTCTCAGCCTGAGTATTCGATTCAACACTCTGAGCTTGCTCAAGCAAAGATGCAGCCTTCTTAGCTGCAATTCTCTTGTAATGAGCCTCAAAATAAGCCTTCTTTTGAGCTACAGAGCCAGGTTTGGAGAACTTCTCGACCTCGTCTAAGTATCGGTTGTGAGAGAAAGCCGACCATTTCTCCCAAGATACAGAAGGGTCGGTTGCAAACCTACCAAAAGATATGGATTCCCCTAACATCATCTTCCCCTGCAACACAAAACTCTCTCCATATTACTACATCAACCAAACCCAGATTGGGAATTCAAACATAAATTACCTATGAGAAACAATCAATCATAATTTAAATCGAGTCCTTTGCGAGGAAATCACAGTGAAATCTGATGGAAGAGGGTATAGAAATCAATGTCCTGAGAGGAAAAAACAACTGAAGAGACATGGATGTAAAATTGGAAGAGGGTGTCTCCAGTTACTGTATAGATCATGATTTATAAGCAAACTTTCAAAGACATTTCATTACTCATTAACCAAGCTTGCTTCGAACATTATACAGACACATCAAATAAATGAGAGTACCCGCGTTGAGAATTTGCAAAATAAGAAAATCGATATTGCAGGAGAGAGAGAAAGAGAGAGAGAGAGAGAGATGGGAATCGAATGGAGAATGTGCAGAGAGATGTAAACAAATAGGATTTCCTTATAAAACTAGTTGTACACAAGTTAAGATTCAAACATAGCAAAGAAATTGTCCGCGACACTAATATTTGAGTAGAGAGAAGAAGAGAAATGGTGAATAAATTAACTGTCAACAGACGTGTGTGTGTGTGCACGTGTGTGTGTGTGTGTGTGTGTGTGTGTGTGAGAGAGAGAGAGAGAGAGAGAGAGAGAGAGAGATGATTGTTTGCCTTATTTCTTCAAAGAAAAGATAATAGTTAAATCAAGGTTTACAAAGAACAACCCAGTGACAGACAGTAAGGGGAAAAGAGAGGAGTCAGAAAATAAATGGGAATTGGAGCAAAAAATATAGAAAAATGCAAAAAAATAGAAGAGGTAACCGATTCAAGAAATGATTAAATGAGAGACCCAACTCAAGGTTTTAAGGGAACAACCCAAAGAAGGAGAATGGAAGAAGAATAAGAGTGTAGAGAGAGAGAGGCAAGTGAGATGAGCCAAATCAAGGCTTGAGAAAACAACTGAATTACAGCGATACAAAGAAGAATAACCACGTGAAGAGAAAAAATAATGGCCATTGGAGTGAGAATGAGGGCAGTTTCTGCAAAACGAAACCCATGATTTCCCCCAAGAAAAAAGAGAGCACCCAAATCAAGGCCATGAGCTAACAAGAGAGAGAAAGTGTGCAGAGAAAGAATGAAATGGGGATGCCAAGACATTGCCTTGTGCATAGAGATGTAAAAAGAAAGAATTCTTTCCCTCACTAAGTAACCCCAGGTTCTTGAGCTTCACGAATCATAAAAGAACAACCCTCTGTAAAGACGGCACCAAAGAGAAATGAACGCCTAGAGAGAAAAAAAATTCAGAAAAAAGACACAAAAATTGGTCTAGAGAGAGAAAAAATGTTTTAGAAAGAGAGAGGACAAACTAGAAAGAGAACTTGTTTGCTTGTTACTAACCTTAGAATCTGATTCTTGGGTTTTGTCGGGATGGTAAGGGAGATGAAGAACACAGGTTGAATCCGCCATGAAAGCTGGCAGAAAGCATGTGAAAACGCTTGCTTCTTCCCTGCAAAAGACCCTAAAAAGTAACGGTCTTCATTCAAATTTGCAAGTCAATATAGAAACACTTCTTGTGCTCTGCAGAATCAGAATGCAAGAATAATAGTAAATAAAGAAAGGCAATAAATACAGTGCAGTACCTTATGTTATTTTGTATTCAAAATTCACATTGGATTTATGTTTCAAGTGTGGTGTAGAGCTCAGAGTGAGCAAAAAGTTTCTTCTTTTTGAAATGTTATTGTGAAAAAGTTTTTTATTAGTAAGTAAATAATGTTTAATATCGTACTGGATTTTGCTACTTTTAGAAAGATTCTTAGAGAGAGAAATCGGATTTTAAGGAATTTAGAGAGAGAAATCGAATTTCAGGGTGAGAGGGAGTCGTGGGTAAGATTCAAAATTTGAATTTAAGTGTGCGGGAAAGGGGTGCATGGAGAGATAGAACAAGACCCTAAATATCGATTTGAGGACAACAAAATAGCATTTAGTTTAGTAAGAAAGGGAGGAGAGATGGGGATAAGAAGGGCTTACTCTGATTAGGGATGGATGGTGAATTAAAATAGCTGATTTGGAATCGTTCGAGTCGGATAGAGCTTTGCGGTTTTAAAGTGAAAGATGGACTAAATTGCCAAGTTCTCTGATTTTTTATTTTTTTAAAAAAAAATATAAACCAAACTCACTCAAGAATTAGGAATAACAATGGGCCCAGCCCTAAGTCGGGCAGACTTGCCCAAAGAGGACCTGACCCTGTTAAAAGGCAAATACGATTAAAGAAAACAAATAAGGGAAAAAACGTCGGGCTGGGTTGTTAAACCAGGCTGGCATATCATGGTCCCAACCCGATCCTTAAGCCAAAGTCAGCTAGGCTGCTCGGCCCATTACCACCCCTAGAATGACCGGACTAGGTCTGATCAGGGCATCTAAAAGAAGTGGATTTGAAGACCAATCCCATTTTTTTTGACAAATGAGTTTGCAATTCTTTTTTTCCTTCTTCTGTCGTAGATACTAAGGGCACATTTATTTCATGTGAAAAAGTTTCCAATAATTATTTTCATGTGAAATAATTCCTTCGTATAGTTAGATGTATAAATATTTTCACATTAATTAGTCACAATACATCTTTTCATGTCAATTAAAAGTGAATTAGTATGAAAATATTCGTGCACAATACAATATAAAAGAATTTTTTTACGTAAAAATATTTTCCAAAAAAATTATTACACGAAGCATGCCCTAAACATTTTCTAACAGGGTGCAATGTAAAACAAAACTGGTGGTAGAAAAAAAAGTGTGCATTATCTAGACATTGAGAGTAATGTCAAATGTGAAAATATGAACATGATCCTAGACAGTGATGGAGGATGAAAGAGATTGAACGAATAACGTAAGTATGGTCCTAGAGAGAGGGTGAGATAATGTACCCAATACTCGTAATCCTTAAAGAGAGAGAGAGAGATTGCTTTTACGAAAACTACAGAGAGAGAAACTTCTAGAGAGAGGAAACTGTGCAACTAATGTACCAATAAGTGGTTGAAACAGCATGCCTAAAGCGATGCGTCTTGAAGAACCTCTATTGATTTGTTTTGTATGTCTCTACCATCACCATTTATGTATGTTTCCATCGTTATCATTCTGATGAAAGTTTTTTCTCAACTATTTGACGTTATTCCTATCTATGAAAAAACATATCCTTAGTGAGGACCAATCCTAATGTTTGCTTTGGATCGTACCAATCATGCTAATAGTTAGCGATATCAACGGCCATCTTTTATATTGGACCGTACCAAGCAGGGCACTTGTCAACGGTCCAATTAGTTAGATCAAGCAATCCAGTCTAGTCTCAATCAATGTTATCGTGGTCGGACAAACTACAAAATTAGTAAGGGCTTTGGTCTAATCAAAACTGGTCAAATCACTAATCAAACCTGTTGGATTGGATTTCAGTAAAAAGGAAAAAGAAAATCATAAAATAGTTCAAAACATCAAATGTATAAGAAAATTTGCTCCATATTATTTAACTAGTGGAACCGGTCAAAGTTATCACTAACCAAAGTTGTTCCGTCATTAGTTTTGACCGATTTTTTATCTAACTACGGTGATTATCTTAGACCAAACTCATCAAGACATTAGTCGATGCAATCTTGTGTTGATAACTATGATCTTATAACTATAGCAGGTGCTTTATATATCTATACTACATGAGCCACAATTAAAAAAGTAAACATGAAAAAAAAATAAAAAATAAGCAAGTGGCTTTAGATAGAAAGTGTCGCGCGTCGAGATAACTACTAAGAAAGATATGTTAGAGCGGATATTAGAGTGAGTATTTAGAGGCTCATATTATTTTCATAGGTATATGAAAACAGATAGTAAAATCCTAGAGCCGAAACGTTACTCCTTGCCAATATTACATAAAAGTAAAATCCTAGAATAATAGCTTTTCCTTAAAGAAAGGTTGCATTTCCTTGCATGTAGAGATTTGCATCGAGATATATCATGAATGGGCCTTTCCTCAACCACTGCATCTCCTTACTAACCAAGAGAGAGTGTCGTTGCTATTGAAATATATTCATTTTAGAAAATATTGTTAATCATATTTTATTTGTGAATTTTCATATACGAAACCTAATTTTAAAGCCTAGTGAAGTGGTGAAGAAGAGATATTTGTGAAGTGAGAGAACAGTTGAAAGGTTCACAATTAAAAACATGCAAGTCTTATCGATACCTTCTCTTAATTATTCGTTGGGTGGGTGTGGCCATTAAAAGGGGTTCTGAGTGTTTGTAATAAACATTTTAATATAAAGGAATATGAACTCAATGAAAGTGTGGTTTCTCATGGATCATACTAAACAAACGATCTTTGATGATACCAGACTGAGTTTGACGAGCTAGGCCAGTCGGTTGGTAGAAAGGATTCTAACAGGTCATCCTTTAATGAGGTCGAAATATACCCAAATCAGTGAGTCGATGGACTGTGTGACTCTTGTGTATGATGGTGACCTTCATAGATAGGGTCAAAGCCTCATCCATGCACCACCATATGGCATGTATAATGATAGTCATTTCGGGAAAGTGAATATCCTTTTAGGGTGAAGTTTATGCGTATATAATGATAGTCATTTCGGGAAAGTGAACCTCCTTTTAGAGTGAAGCTTATGCATATAAAAGAGAAACCTCTGTGTTTCATAAGAGCTATGGTCGTATCAGATCTAGGTGATCTTGGCTAGAAAAAACCCGAAATCCACAAATTGAGATTATGTATGAAGAGAATGTGTGAGAGACGAATGTCTTAGAGGATAAATATATTAAATAGAGAGTTCAGTAAAAAAAAAAGAAAAAAAAAAAGAGGGTAACAGGAGCATCGGTTGAAATAAGAGATATAAGAGAGGAAATTCATAGATGGGATAAGTTTTAAGTATTGTAAAAGGTAAATTCCAGGTATACTTACTATTTCGCAAGTTAAAGTTAAAATGGATAGTAGGCTCTAAAACCTAGAACTCTCTTCCAGTGTTCTAATTTTAAAAGGGCAAATATCACAGTTATCTCATCCAAGTTAAAATAGATATTAGACTTTAAAGCTTGAAAATTAAAACGGATCTTAAACTCTAAAGTTTAAAAATTGAAGTTGAAATGATATTTGGAATAAAGCATTTATACGGGCCATTTATGAAGACATATTTACATTTAGGCATAATCACACATAAATAAATTATGTAATACAAAAACTATTTTTCTTTGCATTGACAAGTATAAAACAAAATGCCAAATGCATGTTATTTTCCAATATTTATTTTAAAAGACATAAATTTTATGATCATACCTTTAGAACTTTATAAAAACTTATATGAGATATTAAAATTATAGTTATAAATTAAAATAAAAAATTAATAAACTAATTTAACCTAAGGATGTCTTTAGTATTTATAACATATTACTAGTAAAATAATACCAAAGTCAAATATTCCAATATATATTTATTTTTTGCTAAATTTTTATTAATATTAATATAGTAATTTATTTATTAAGACAATAATAAATACAATTTTATTAATTGTAATTATGAATATTATATAAAAATATTAAAATTAAAATTAAATATTATTAATATATTCAAATAATTCAAATTTAAATATATATAATTGCTTTAATTATAAGATAATAATTAAATTTAAGTAATGATATTTATTTATTATTATTATAATATTAAAATCAACATTAATAATGTGATTGTAATATTAATAAAAAAATATTAAAACAATTATGTAAATACAACTAGAATCGTAATTGAATATTATGAATATATTTTACATGTAACGTGCTCTCCCATTGGAACATGCAATTATTTTCGCATATCAATGTATTATTCCATCCTATATTTACGAAATTATTTACATGAATGCTATCCCGTAACTACGTACTGTTGGTTACATATTAACACTATTATTTAGGGAAATTATCGTAAATATACTTTAATTTAAGGTTAATTGGAAAAAAAACCCCAAACTTTCGTTTATCTCGTCTACACTATTTTTCTTCATTTTTGGATTTTTTGGACCAAAATGACATTCACGGTAGTCTTATGACTATAATACATATCATTTTATACGGTATTTAAAATACCGTAGTAATTTCAAATAGTATTACGGTACTTTAAGTACAATAAAACTCTGGCCATACCGTGAAGCCAATTACAGTACTTTAAGTATCGTAAAAACTAAAACCCATTATACGACATTTTAAGTACAGTAAAAACTAACCCATCTTCTGCTGCACTTAAAATACTATAAAATCATTTTCTCATCCAATTTATATTTATCTCTTTCATCTCTAATTATCTCTTCTTTCTCTCTAATTCTTTTTAATATTTATTTCTTTGTTTTCCCTGTAATTATTTTTTATTTCTTCTTTCTCTCTCTACAATCTCATCATCGTTTCCTTAGATAGATCATGTCCTCTGTTTTACATAGCTGAAGTCAGTGTTTGATTACTCTCTATGAAGAAACGATAATGAGATTGTAGATAGATAAATAAGAGATAAACAAAATTAGAGAGATGAGTAATAGATAAATATGAAAAAGAATTAAAAAGAGAAAGAATAGATAAATATAAAAAAAGTTAGAGATGAAAGAGATAAACCTAATGATAAAAGAGTTTACGGCATTTTAAGTGCCGTATACCATGGGTTAGTATTTACGGTTATTAAAATGTCATATAAAGGTTAGTGTAAGTTTACGGTACTAAAAGTACTGTATAAAATGCCCTCAGTATTACGGTGCTAAAAGTACCATATAAAATTCCCTAAGTATTAGGGTAATTAAGTACCGTACAACATGCACTAACTATTATGGTAATTCGACTACAGTGAAGGTCATTTTAGTTAAAAAAAACCGAAAATGAAAAAAAAAAGTTGCAGACGAGATAAACACAGGTTTAAGGTTTTTTTTCCAATTAAGTTTAAATTAAAGTATATTTATGATAATTTCCCTATTA